TCCCTCCCTCCCTCCCTCCTTCCTTCCTTCCTTCCTTTTTTCCTTTCTTCCTTTTTTCTTTGTGTTGGTTGTGGGGCTTGAACTCTCTGGGCTTGGGTGTTGCCCCCCAGCTCTTCTGCTCAAGGCTAGTGTTCTACCACTTGAACCACAGCACCAATTCCAGCTTTCTGGTGGGCAGTTGGAGATAAGAGTCCAGGGACTTTCCTGCCCGAGCTGGCTTTGAACTGCTATCCTCAGATCTCAGTATCTGAGTAGCTAGGATTACAGACCTGAGCCACCAGTGCCCAGCCTGGATTTTTTTTTTTTTTAACTTGAGTGGAAATAAGAGTCTCACAGACTTTCCAGCCTGGACTGACTTTGAACTGTGATCTTGAATCCTGAGTAGCCAGGATTACTAACTTGAGCCTACTACTGACTTAGAAACAGTTTTATCTAAGCTCCTTTTGGATATGACAGTTTTTTTTTTTTTTACTTGTTTTTGATGATGTAGAATTTTCAGGATGGGTTTTGTGGAATGGTTCCCAAATGTGATTTGTCAGATGGATTTCTTATGATTGGGTGGCTGAGATTGTAGGTTTCAGGGAAGATGATCACAGATGTCTGGCAAGACTTTGATTACAAGTTTGATTGCAGGTATTAAGGGTACATACTACTCTTTTTTTGTTGTTGTTGTTGGTCATGTGGGTTGAACTCTAGGCCTGGGCGCTGTCCCTCAGCTCTTCAGCTCAAGACAAGCACTCTACCACTTGAGCCACAGCACCACTTCCGGTTTTCTGAGTGTTTATTGGAGAGAAGAGTCTCACGGACTTTCCTGCTTGGACTGGCTTTGAACCACGATCCTCAGATCTCAGCCTCCTGAGTAGCTAGAGTGACAGGCGTGAGCCACCAGTGCCTGGCTGAGGAGGCCTTCCTTGAACACCCAATCTGAAGGACTTTCAGAACAAAATGAAAACTATTTCTTTTCTGTGTATGCATATGGTTTGTTTTGGTCAAGGGCATGCAGATTTACTGGGGGCAGGTACATCTATATTCTGGATATTTTACATACCAAGTCAGTTAATATATGTTGATGTATTAATGAATTATCCTGTCTTGGGTGTGTCTAGTCTGGTTTAAATACAGGTTTGTTCTGTTGGGCTTCCTGCTTAACTGCCTCCATGTTTACGAAAGGGTTTTGCTTGCAAATTAGATTAGATTTCAGTATATTGAAAATGTGTGTGCAGTTATTCTGAATGGGCTCTCTACAATGTTTATAACTTTTTTATAACTTTTTTAAAGATTATTTTTATTTTATTATTATAACTTTTTTTAACGATTATTTTTATTTTATTATGTTGTTGTTGGTTGTGGAGTTTGAACTCTGGGCCTGGGCACTGTCCCTCAGCTCTTCAGCTTAAGGCTAGCGATCTACCATTTCCAGTTTTCTGGTTTATTGGAGATGAGTCTCACAGGGCTGGAAAGGTGCTTCACATGCATGAGGTACTGGGTTCGATTCCTCAGCACCACATAAATAGAAAAAGCCGGAAGTGTTGCTGTGGCTCAAATGGTAGAGCGCTAGCCTTGAACTGAAGAGCTGAGGGACAGCGCCCAGACTCAGAGTTTAAGCCCCACAACGGACCAAAAAAAAAAAAAGTCTACAGACTTTCCTGCCTGGGCAGGCTTTGAACCGTGATTCTCAGATGTCAGCCTCCTGAGTAGCTAGGATGAGCCACTGGTGCCTGGCAATTTTTTTTTTCTTGCCAGTCCTGGGGCTTGAACTCAGTGCTGGGGCACTGTCCCTGAGCTTCTTTTGCTCAAGGCTAGCACTTTATGGCGGGAAGCACAGCCTCACTTCTGGCTTTTTCTGTTTATGAGGTACTGAGGAATCGAACCCAGGGCTTCATGCATGCGAGGCAAGCACTCTACCACTAAGCTACATTCCCACCCTGAAAATGTGCATTTTTAATAATCAGCCTGACATCTAATCATTTAGAGTTTGAAAATCCCAGTGGGGCTGGTGATGTAGCCTAGTGTTAAAGGAAGTGTTGACCTAGAATCCATTAGGTCCCAGGTTTTTATCCCCACCACCATAAACCAAAACAAACTCAGTGTGTTGATGCAGTGAGATTTTTGGAATAGTTTCTAGAGAATAGTCTGCTGAATCGGTGAAGTTTTGACATACTTTCACATCACCTTCAACACTTACTCATTAATGATTCCATTAGAGATAAATATAGTAAGTACTTTTATTTCCCCCAAAGTAACATCTTGTCTTCACCCCTTTTTCAGGATCTGACTGGGATCGAGTCTATGGATCAGTGTCGGCATACCTTGGAACAGCATAACTGGAACATAGAGGTACACTAGGATTCATTCGAAGCTCATTTATTTTTCCTCTGCTCTGATAAAAGAATGAAATAGATTTTTTTTTCCCCCACGACATATCTTTCAGCATTATGACTCCTTAGGTTTTAAAAATACTAGTATGAGAAGTACAGAAGGTGTGAAAATTTATGAAAATGCAGGACAAGTCTGATCCAAACCGTTTAATGTAGTGCCTCCCTGTTTTCTTTTTTTAATAAAATACGGAATACCTCATGAGTTTGCCCATCATCCTTGCATCAAGGTTATGCTGATCTTTGTATAATTCCAATTTTAGGATATCTGCTACTGAAGTGAGCACCTTTGTGTTTTCTTTTTCTTTTTTTTTATTTTTTTTATTTTTTGTCGGTTGTGAAGCTTGAACTCTGGGCTTGGGTGCTGTCCCTCAGCTCTTCAGTTCAAGGCGAGCGCTCTACCACTTGAGCCATTGTGCCCATGTTGGGCTTTTTGTGTGTATGTGGTGCTGAGGAATCAAACCCAGGGCCTCATGCGTGCAAGGAAAGCACTCTACCACTGAGCCACCTTCCTAGCACTCTTGTGTTTTCTTAATGGCTGTTTGGAAATTTTTCTTTTGGTTTTTAATATTTAGGAGTGTGTGTGTGTCTATGTGTGTGTGTGTGTGTTAGTTGGAGTTTGAGTGTTGTCTCTAGCTTTTTTGCTCAAGTCTAGTGCTCTTCCACTTGAGCCATACCTCTACGTCTGGCTTTGGATGTTTAATTGGAGATGAGAGTTTTATGAACCTTTCTGAGTGGGTAGACTTTGAATTTTAATCCTCAGATCTCAGCCTCCTAAGTAGCTAGGATTATGGTCACGAGCCCCCAGTGCTTGACTAATATTTAATTTTATGTAGAGCCTTAACAAGAGGCTTTTTACTGAATATTTTTGAGTTTATTCTTTGGGGGTTTCCTGGTAGTCTTTATTATCTTGCCACTCTATATTTGTTTGTTTGTCAGTCCTGGGACTTGAACTCAAGGCCTGGGCGCTGTCCCTGAGCCTCTTTGTGCCCAAGGCTAGTCCTCTACCACTTGAACCACAGAACCGCTTGCGGCATTTTTGAGTAGTTTATTGGAGATAAGAGTCTCTTGGGAACTTTTCTGTTCAGGCTGGCTTTGGACAGTGGTCCTCAGATCTCCTGAGTTGCTAGAATTATAGGCATAAGCCACTGGAGCCAGGCCTTTGTTTCTGCTTTTAGTAAGTGTTCTACTCACATGACCGCATCACTTCCCAACAACATAGCATTGGTTATAGATTTTTTTTTTTCTTGGTCCGTCGTGGGGCTTGAACTCTGCGCCTGGGTGCTGTCCCCTCAGCTCTTCAGCTCAAGGCCAGTGTTCTACCCCTTGAGCCACAGTACCACTTCTACTTTTCTTGTGGTTCATTGGAGATAAGAGTCTCATGGACTTTCCTGCCCGGGCTGGCTTTGAACTGCGATCCTCAGATCTCAGCCTCGTGAGTAGCTAGGATGACAGGCGTGAGCCACCGGCGCCCGGCAGATTATTTGCTTTTGAGAACAGGGTGTCATTATGTAGCTCAGGTTGCCATGGGACTTACGAGGTCGGCGAGGCTGGCCTCAAGTTGGGGATCTTCCTCTCTTGGCCTCAGTTTAACATTGATTTGTAAAACTTCCTTGTTGAATCATAGGAAAATGGGCGCGGGTGGAGGGGCTTCCTGAAATGAGTGAGATCACAAAGTTAAAAGCCAGCTATTAAGTTCGGAGGACTCCTCCTGGCCCTCTCAAAGATCACACTTAGTTGTGACAGCAACTCCCAAGTTCTGAGGGGTTCAAAAGCCACCCTCAGGATCCTGGTTCACTAGAACTCACTGGTAGTTTTATTTTCACGGCTGTAGTAGGTGAGAGGGAAACGATGCAGTAGAGTGGAGTCTCCACTGTCCTCAGACATATAGCTGGCACACTGGTCTCTTATAGAGTCCTCCCGCCCCAGCTGTGTGACACTGTGCTTAACCTGTTGCTAACCAGAGACTGGTGCTTAAGCTCGAGCATCCTGAGGTTTTTTATCGGTTGTGGGGCCTGAACTCTGGGCCTGGGCGCTGTCCCTCAGCTCTTCAGCTCAAGGCTAGTGCTCTATCACTTGAGCCACAGAACTACTTCTGGCTTTTTCTGCTTATGTGGTGCTGAGGAATTGAACCCTGGATCTCATGCATGCAAGGCAAGCACTCCACCACTGAGCCACCTTCCCAGCCCTGTCCCTGAGCTTTTTTGTTCAAGGCTAGTGCTCTACCACTTGAGCCCATCTCTACTTCTGGCTCTTTTTGGTGGTTAGTTGGAGATAAGAGTCTCACAGACTTTTCTGCCTGGACTGGCTTTGAACCTTGCTCTTCAGATCTCAGCTTTCTGAGTAACTAGGATCATAGGCATGAGCCACCAGTGCCCAGTATATCCTGAGTTTTTTTGTTTTTGTTTTAGCCTGGCGCACCAGGAGGCCACTACCAGCTTCACACTGTCTACAGGCTATATCCTGAGTTTTTACTGGGTTTCATTGCATAGGCAAGATTGATAGTGATTCATTTGGCTTCCTATGTGTTGGACTCAGTCTCCAAATTGACTATTACCAAGTCACTCGAAGTTCCCATCCTAAATCACATAGCTGGTCTTTCTGGCATGGCCAGTCTTCATCCTCTGCCTTTTGGGTCAAGCAGCTCCAACTGTAATCCAGGAACAAAAAAGGCATCCAAATTGGCCATGAATAGGATATTTTACAGAGGTTAAGGTCAGGCATTTCTTTGGGTCTGGTCAGATTTTTTTTACTGTACTGAGACAGACAGTCATTTTGAAGGGCAAAGTTGAAAAGAGAATGAGTTTTGCTTTAAATGAATGTTAGTGGTGTGTAGGAGGTGCGTTAGAATTTTTATGTGTGCACATCTCATTAAAGTTTCAAATTAACTCAGAGCTATTATTGTTCTTTTATTTTGCATATGAGGAACCTAAAGCTCACATGGTGAATGACTTTTCTGGGCATTGGAGCTAGGTAGAATTCTGAGCTACATTTCTGGATTTTTTTTTTTAGGTGTGTGTCTGCCAGTCCTAGGGGTTGAACTCAGGGCCTGGGTGCTCTCCGTGATCATTTTATTTGCTCGAGGCTAGTGCTTTACCACTTGAGTCACAATTCTGCTTTTGCCTTTTTGGACTCTCCTGCTCTAACTAGCTTGGAACCACAGTCCTCAGATCTCAGCTTCCTAAGAAGCTGTGGTGACAGGTGTGAATCTGGCACCTGGCTTAGACCTACAATTCTTTGTAAGCCCTCTATCAGCCATCAGTCATCAGGTCTGTTTCAGAGCAATTCCATGACCACTGTCCACATTTTGTCTCTGAACTGATTTTTTTTTTGGCAGTCATGGGGCTTGAACTCAGGGACTGGTTACTGTCTCTGAGCTTTTTTGTTCAAGGCTAGAGCATCTACCACTTTGAGCCACAACTCACCTCTGATTTTCTGGTGGTTCATTGGAGATAAGAGTTTCATGGACTTTTCCAACCTGGGCTGGCTTTGAACCATGATCCTCAAATCTCAGCCTCTTGAGTATCTGGTGGCTTAAGCCACCAGCACTTGGCTGGACTGGGTTTTTTTTGTTGTTGTTGTTGTTCAACAAAGTACATCGTTTCCAGCACCCTAAGTAGTACACTCCCTGTGAATAAAAGCAGCATACTTGTTGTGTAACTGTTGCTTCCAGACAAGTTCCCTGCTCTGTTCTACAAAAACAAGTTCACTGCTCTACTCTACAAAGTGTGAGTTCTCATTGTCTCTGATAAAGGAGATTGAAAGGTCTGTGCAAATACACCTGTCAGTTTACCTTTGTGTAAAGCTCACCTTGTTTGGAGACACTGAGCAGTAGTACCTGCATCCCCTCTGGATTGATTTGAACATCACTGAAAATCTTACTCTTGTTTTCCCTCTCAGGCTGCTGTACAGGACAGACTGAACGAGCAAGAGGGAGTACCCAGTGTTTTCAACCCTCCTCCATCCCGACCCCTTCAGGTTAACACAGCTGACCACAGGATCTACAGCTATGTTGTCTCAAGACCACAACCAAGGGCAAGTTGTTTTGTAGCTGGAATTTCCCACTTTTTATTTTATAAGCTTATTCACCTGGCCAGGGGAGGGGGGGGGTTGTATTGATCTCTGTATGATACGATCAAGAGAGATACTCAGAATGTAAATCTGCTAGCTAGGCCTGGGTGGACCTCTTGGTAGATTTAGTGTTTATATCAGTTTCCCTGGATTTCTTAATAAATTGTTATAGAAACCCTTTCTGTTCTTTGCTAGTTATTTGGAGAGCGTTTTCTGTGCCTTGTTTTGAGTACGTGGACAGTTTCATTTCTCTACATATCAAAATATATGCTATATGTTTAATAGAGGGCCCCTCATTTCCGCTCCCCGCCCCCCTCCCAACTTTGCTAGTACTAAGGTTTAAACTTAGGGGCCTTGTTCTCTCTCACTTAAGCCATGCCTCCAGTCTGGCATTTTGCTAGTTAATTGGAGATGGATTCTCAAGGACTTCTCTGCCCAAGCTGACTTCAAATCCTGGTCCTCTGGACCTCAGCTTCCTGAGGAGCTAAGATTATAGACCTGAGCTCCTGAGTCCAGCGAAAGCTCCTATTTTTAATAAGAATCTGTTGACTTTGCTTCAGTTTACTTAGTTTTAGCTGTTTCTCTCTCTCTCTTCTCTCTCAGTATATTACTTGCACAAGTAATATAACAAGTAGGGGGTTTCATTGTGTCATTTCCATATGCATGTACAATGTATTCCACCAAACTCTTCTGACATTCTCCCTATTCCTATACCTCTTCTAAAACAATGTCAGTGGGTTTTGTTGTTCTCTGTTCATATATGCAAGTGAAATATCCATCCTTGCTCACATTCTCCATTCACTGTCCCACTTAGAAGGAAGCCTGTGGTGCTTTCCTGTCTTTTCATTTATTTATTTATTTATTTTTTGGGTCCAGTCGTGGGGCCTGAACTCTGGGCCTGGGCGCTGTCCCTCAGCTCTTCAGCTCAAGGCGAGCACTCTACCACTTGAGCCACAAACTCTTCCCCAAAAAAAAGTAATCTTCGCAATTCTTTTTTTTTTTTTTTGTCAGCCATCGGGCTTGAACTCTGGGCCTGGGCGTTCTCCCTCACCTCTTCAGCTCAAGGCGAGCCTACTACCCCTTG